GATCTGGAGCATCTGTGGCCACATTTTCATTTGATCACTGACTATCTCATTGACATCATAATGCTCTCTCTCTCTCACCACCAATTTTTTTTCTTCCTATTACTTCACTCCTCCTCTTTCCATTCTTATCTTCCTTCCCTCTTTTTCCTCATCTGCATTCCCTCTCCTTGTACTCTCTTCATCTACTTTGCCTTTGTTTCCTGCCTCACATTTTCCATTTAAATAGATAAACATAAATTTTTTAATTCATTTGCCTTTTAGGGTGTATGTCTGAGAATTGTCTAGTTCAAATTGAAGATGGCAGCTTTACTTGAGCAGTAGATTTTAGCTGTATGCTTTTTTTCAAGTAAATTAGTCTTTCCTGTGATTAAAAAAATTACACAATGATTTTTCTTTAGGGATTTATTGATAGTAAATATTTTTTATGTTATTTCTTACATTAGCATTGTTTTCACTCATGATCATTGATGTTTTCACTTGGTAATTACACATAATCATAAAATTATGGCACATACTACATTGACCCTGTCTCATACAGAAGTACAAGAAGATGCCCATCTGTCATTTTGGACCTGCAAAATGATTATTTGCCCTCCTGGTTATGGTTACAAACTCATCTGTCCACTATCTTATTGATAGGGTGTTTCTACAATTTTTTTATATAAACCAAAGTATGACTACAGTGATTTTATTAAAATACAATTTTTAATTGCTGAAGTAGTAGGTACCAAGCAAAAGTTTTGAAAAAAGGCCATTTATAGTTAGCAATCCATTTGGCAACTAGGCACTCCATAGAACAGTTGATCATTGTATGAAAAAAGTTGTAGTACACAGTTGTGCATTGTGATGTTTGTCTAGGAGGTTCAGAGGGTTAGAACACAAATGCTGGATGGATAGAAAGAGCTTTTTCCCTTATCTTGTAAATGTTATAAATAGCTTTGTTTAGGACTGACAAGTTTAATATGGAACTAGTGGTAAATATAATTGTTCATTTCTTCTATCTGTCCACTTTTATGTATATTTCTTGGGTGTGTGTGTGTTTTATCGATGTTTGTTGGCTTCAGGGCTTGGATTAATGTGCTTGGCTTTATCAGAATTTTGCAGAATATAATTTTCCTTTTTTATTTTGATATTAATTCAATATATAACTTTGCAAATAATATATTGTACCTATTTTCAAGCTTTAATAGTATATTGTTAATTTGTTTGATATGTAGCATCTAACACTAGAGATATTTTTTATCACTGGGTCTCCCCCTTAGGGGGATTGCCTTATAGTTTTGACCTTTTCTTCTCTCATTTTTGTTTTCTGCCACTTTGTTTCTGAATTTTATCTTAAGACTGTCTCTTTGCATTTTCTTGAAGCTTACAGTACTTATGTATATTTGTAAAATGGTGACCATTTAGGGAATCAGTTTCTAGTTTATTAATGGAAGGTTTGAGAAGAAGGCTTCAGATGCCATGCTGGATGTGCTTAATTTTAGTCATTTTTTCTACATTTTGGATGTTAAATATACCATTCAAAAAATTTGAGGCAATACCTGAAATATCAGGTTCAAGAGAGAGGGAGAGAGAGTGTCACTTCAAATTTTTTGTGTTGAAGATACTTTAGGAGTGTCAGCAGCTCACCTGACAGCTGTCTCATTTGACTTAGACTTCTGTACCATAAGAGGATACCCAGGGTCTTACGAGCAGGCCTGAGAAACACGAGTCCTGATGCTGAAAGGCTTGACAGACCATGAGGGAAGGAAAAAGGAAGGAGGGGGTAGAGAAGGAGATTGAGAAATGAGAAAGAAGGGTGGAGAGTGCTAGATATAATAAGGTTATTTGATCAAATTGTTTGTATCGTGAGATATACAGGAATAGGAGACTGAGGATACCTCCTTTGATTGTCTTAATGAAATTCAGCATTATTGAGCTCTTTGTATTTTGTATTGCATAAATTATTTAGGTAAACTAATATAGTGCTGTTATTGCAAGAATCATAGTAATCATGTGCATATATCACTGCAGGGTGTTCAGAGTATGGGAATTGATGATGGAAGAGCAATTACTACACCTCCTATCACCAGTGACTCAGTGGGTACACCGTTGGTTACTCCAGCTGGTGTGCTTATGACTGCACCAATTCCAGTTGAGGCAGTTGGTATACCAGTCAATACGGACATGTTCCCAAGTTTGAAGCCAACACCACAACCTATCATTAATTCTACAGCAATGCATCACATTACTTCGTTGCCACCAGAGATGTCTGCCCCAGGTGTCAGCATTCCACCTGAAATGGGAGTATCAGTAGAACAATCTGGACATACAGACACCAGCCAAGTTACCCTTCAATCTCAAGCTGCAGAATTGGGTTGCAGTGGGGGGGAGCCAGGTCATGTACCTGGGGATGGTCATGTTGGTGTTGAAGCACATTATGTGCCTGTTGTGCCTGGCCACATTACAATGGGCTTGGCACCTGGAACACCAACAGCAGTGCCTGCAGGAATGACACCAGGTGAGTGCTGTCTTTATTAATATTGCTGCAATTGAGTCTTTGAAGCCTTGGTAAAAAAGGGAATCACCACCTGTCATTGATGGCTCTTTCCTTCCAATAAGTTGAGAAAAAAAATATTATATTCAAAATTAGCTGTGAAAAATCATGTGAAGATTAGAAGATAAAACTAGTGAATATTATAGGAATTCATGTATGTTAATGCTTAAGGAGCCCCTTCATTCTCACAGAGCTCTTGATCAAAGGAAATGGAACTACCCTTTCCTTGGGTCAAACCTGATTAACTCCCTTTTCCAGGCACTCTTTGCCCCATCTGGTTGGGCACTTTAGCTTGAATATAATAATGCTTGAGGAAAGTTAATATGAGTATTGCTTATATATTGCCTATGTATTTGCAGCCAGCTAGCTGGACTTGAGTCCTGGAGGTGGAAAGTACAATGCCTGGACACTAAAGAAGTGGTGGGGATATTTGCTGTTTGGAGGGACATCTGAACTGTCATATCTATGTGCCTCTGATGACAATGATAGTGTGAATGATGGTGAAAGTGTTTCTTGGGTCACCCTGCCTCAGTGGGAGTTCACCAGTGTGTGTGTGTGTACTCACCTAATTGTACTCACCTAGTTGTGGTTGCAGGGGTTGAGTCACAGCTACTGGCTCCCCTTCTTCACTGGTCACTACTAGATCACTCTTCCTGCTCCATAAGCTTTATCATACCTCTTCTTAAAGCTGTGTATGGATCCTGCCTCCACTACATCACTTCCCAGACTGTTCCACTTCCTGACAATTCTGTGACTGAAGAAACACTTCCTAACATCCCTGTGATTCATCTGAGTCTTCAACTTCCAACTGTGACCCCTTGTTGCTGTGTCCCATCTCTGGAACATCCTGTCTCTGTTCACCTTGTCAATTCCTCTCAGTATTTCACATGTCGTTATCATGTCCCCACATCTCTCCTGTCCTCCAGTGTTGTCAGGTTGATTTCCCTTAACCTCTTCTCGTAGGACATACCCCTTAGCTCTGAGACTAGTCTTCGTGCAAACCTTTGAACTTTCTCTAGTTTCCTTACATACTTGGCTAGGTGTGGGTTCCAAACTGGTGCTGCATACTCCAATATAGGCCAAATGTACATGATGTACAGGGTCCTGAACGATTCCTTATGGAGATGTCAGAATGCTGTTCTTAGGTTTGCTAGGCACTCATATGCTGCAGCAGTTATTTGCTTGGCTAGGTGTGGGTTCCAAACTGGTGCTGCATGCTCTAATATAGGCCAAATGTACATGATGTACAGGGTCCTGAATGATTCCTTATGGAGATGTTGGAATGCTGTTCTTAGGTTTGCTAGGTACCCATATGCTGTAGCAGTTATTTGCTTGGCTAGGTGTGGTTCCAAACTGGTGCTGCATACTCCAATATATGCCAAATGTACATGATGTACAGGGTCCTGAACGATTCCTTATGGAGATGTTGGAATGCTGTTCTTAGGTTTGCTAGGCGCCCATATGCTGCAGCAGTTATTTAGTTGATGTGCACCTCAGGAAATGTGCCCAGTGTTATACTCACCCCAAGATCCTTTTCTTTGAATGAGGTTTGTAGTCTCTGGCCCCCTAGACTGTACTCAATCTGTGGTCTTCTTTGCCCTTCCCCAATCTTCATGACTTTGCACTTGGTGTTGTTGAACTCCAGGAGCTATTTGCTGGACCAGCCCTACAGCCTGTTAAGATCCCATTGTAGTTCTGCCTGGTCCTCATCTGATTGAATTCTCATCAACTTTACATCATCTGCAAACAGGGACACTTCTGAGTCTATTCCTTCCATCATGTAGTTCACAAATACCAGAAACAGCACCGGTCCTAGGACAGACCCCTGTGGAATCCCGCTCATCACAGATGCCCACTCTGACACCGTGCCATGTATCGTGACTCACTGTTGTCTTCCTGACAGGTATTTTTTAATCCATTGCAGTGCCTTCCCTGTTATTCCTGTCTGGTCCTCCAGCTTTTGCACTAATCTCTTGTGTGGAACTGTGTCAGATGCCTTCTTACAGTCCAAGAAAATGCAATCTACGCATCCCCTCTCTTGTCTTACTGCTATCACCATCATAGAACTCAAGTAGGTTTGTGACACAGGATTTCCCGTCCCTGAAATTGTGCTGGCTGCCGTTGATAAGCTCATTGCTTTCTAGGTGCTCCACCACTCTTCTGATAATCTTCTCCATGACTTTGCATACTATACATGTCAGTGACACTAGTCTGTAGTTTAATGCTTCATGTCTGTCTCCTTTCTTAAAAATTGGGACTACATTTGCTGTCTTCCATACCTCAGTTAGTTGCCCAGTTTCGATAGATGTATTGAAGATTGTTGTTAGCAATACACATAGTGCCTCTGCTCCCTCTCTCAGTACCCATGGAGAGATGTTATTCCGCCCCATCGCCTTTGAGGTATCTAGCTCGCTTAGCAGCCACTTCACTTCTTCCTCGGTTGTATGTGTTGTGTCCAACAGTTGATGGTGTACCCCACCTCTCCATCTTTCTGGAGTCCCTTCTGTCTCCTCTGTGAACACTTCTTTGAATCTCATGTTGAGTTCCTCACATACTTCGCGGTCGTTTCTTGTGATCTCCCTTCCTTCCTCAACCTGAGGTCAGATTTGGCTTTTGCTGCTATGTCATTTTCGTATTGTTGTTGGGCTTCCATTCTTATCTGTGCATTTTTGTTTCTGACTCTATGACTGCTCTCCTTATTCTCCTGGATCCTTTGCCTTCTGTAATTCTTCCATTCTCTAGCACACTTAGTTTTGGCCTCTCTACACCTCTGGGTGAACTAAGGGCTCATCCTGGCTTGTTATTTCTGTTACCCTTGGGTGTAAACCTCTCCTCAGCTTCCTTGCATATTGTTGTCACATATTCCATCATCTCGTTTATTGACTTCCCTGCCAGTTCTCTGTCCCACTGAACCCTGTGCAGGAAATTCTTCACACCTGTGTAGTCCCCTCTCTTGTAGTTTGGCTTCATTCATCCTGCCCTTCCTGCTTCCCTCTCCACTTGTAACTCTACTGTGTATTCGAAGCTCAGAACCATGTGGTCACTGGCCCTGAGGGATCTTTTGTATGTGATGTCCTCAATATCTGCGCTACTCAAGGTGAATGCTAGGTCCAGTCCCACTGGTTCATCCTCTCCTCTCTGGTAGTGTCCCTTATGTGTTGGTACACAAGGTTTTCCAGTACCACCACCTTCATCTTAGCCCTCCACATTTCTGGGCCTCCATGTGGCTCCAGGTTCTCCCAGTCAATTTCCTTGTGATTGAAGTCACCCATAATCAGCAGCGTTGCCCTGTTTGCATGAGCTCTTCTGGCCACTTCAGCCAGTGTGTCAACCATTGCCCTATTACTCTCATCATATTCTTGCCTTGGCCTCCTGCTGTTCTGTGGTGGGTTATACAGTACTGCAGTTACCTTTTGACCTCCAGTCTGAAGTGTTCCTATTATGTAGTCTCTTGCTTCTCCTCTCTCCAGCTCGTCAAAATCCCATTGGTTTTTGATGAGCAGTGCCATTCCTCCACCCCCTCTGTTCCTTCTGTCTTTTCTCAGGATCTGATATCCCATTGTAAAGATGGCGTCTGTTATTCCTGTGAGCTTGGTTTCTGTGTAAGCTATGATGTCTGGTGGTGCCTCTTTGACTTTCATGCCACTCCTCCCACTTACTCGTTATTCCATCAGCATTGGTGTACCATACCTTCAGTTTCCTCTCCAACACTGTGTTCTGGGGGTCTGTGAGGGTGGGGGGCCTGGCAGTGTGCCGTGAGATTCTGCAGCGTAGTGTGGGGTGAGGGCTGTAAGTGTGGATTGTGGTTTGTGTTGGGATAGCATGTTTGGTCATGGGGTTCTGGGGGTGGCTCTCTGTGTGCTTGCGTTTGTTGCTCTGTCCTGCTCTGGTTGTCCTCTGCTGACTCTGTCCTTGTTTCTCTTCCTAGCTCCTTTCGTTTGTGTCCTCTCCCTCAGCTGCTGTCATTCTGTTCTTGTTCTTTCTCGGTCTAGGAACACCCTTATATATGTTGACGATTCCTTCAGCCGTGGTTTCTCTTGCAGGATCATGTTCCACACAGATTTTGTCTTGAAAATCAGTTTGACTCACCTTCAAGTACCCCCCTATTCTCTGAAAATTTACTATCTCAGTCATGTCCTCCTCGCTTATTTCTTTGATGAGGTTTTCAATCTCCTGTTTTTCTTCCTGCCGTCTTTGATTGTGTATCCTCCCCTCACTCTCCTGAAGCCCATGAATGAACACTGACTTCTCCGTCTCCTCCCCCCATTGCCTTTCTCTGTGTCTCTGGATCCCATTTGTACATGGCCATTGTCTCCCTAATTTTTTCCTGTAACTCTTGGTGGCATGCTCATACCTCTGCATTGCACCTATCCCCCTCTCCACCTTCTCCCCCTTTCCTTACTGCTAGCCCTGCTCCCAACAACTCTTCCGCTTCGTTCCTCAGCCCTGCATAAGTCATGTTTCTTTCCCTTTCTCTTAGGCTTCTTATTCAGTTGGGGTGTACCTGCTTCAGATATGTCTCCTCTGGGCAATAGTCCTGTAACTCGCTTCGGCCTATTTACCTCATATTCTAGGGTCCATATCCTGGCTTTTGCTGCTTTGGCTTGTGACTCCCATTTCTTCTTTGCCTCCATCCTCTTCTCTGTTTTCACAGAAAGCTCACCTAGTTTGCTCTTCCACCCTTGTTCCATCCTTTTATATTTCTCTTCCATCCACTCCTCCTTACCAGGACCGTCTTCCTCTGATCCCCTGAGCCTTCGACTTTCCCTCTGAGCCACCATTTTTATGGGTTAGGTGTTGTAATGTGTGTGTGCTGTTTGTGTGTGTGCATGGGGGTTGAGGGAGATTGCAAGGGGGGAGATGGGGAGAGGGAAGGAGGGGGACAGAGTGATGGAGAGGTGGAGAGAGAGTGGGAGGGGTGGATAGTGTGTGTGTGTGTGTGTGTATGAAACAGGTAGGAAGAG